AAATCTTATTTTATTAACGTAATTGAAATTTATGATTAATATGTCATCCTTTTTACCTGCCTACCTTATTGAATTCGAATTTCATTATACATTCACATTCATTGATAGATTATGAGGGTAATTTGTCCCTCGTTGATGTTGAAGTAATGTAAACCGCACTTTTGTCGTGGTGAATTGCAATTAGTTTTATTATCGTTGAGTGTAGTATCGGCCTTCATGATAAATATTGAATTAAAGAGACCAGGGATGAAGCCATGTAGGTGAAAAAAACCACTTGTTTTTCTGCTGTCGAGCTTTCGGCTGTATTTAAGCCCTTCCTTAGGACATTGAAAAATTATTTTAAAAACTTAACAATCAATTCGGACACGTGATCCCATGGACATGGGGCCGGATAACTCAATGGAAACCACCAGGAGAGGTGAACATGAAGTGGTTTTTTTTATCCTATATGGCTTCATCCCTGATCTCTTTATTTCAATATTAGTTTTATTATTAAAACAAGCTTTAAAAAATACAAATAAATACACCCTTAATAAATGCACAATGCAATGAGACATTAACGGGCAACTCTACATCTAGAATAAAATAGCGTAATTGCCCGGATATGATTTTTGGTGTTTTTTTATACCACAAACGTCCCTGTTAATTAGTGTTTCTCAAAATGATTCCACTAAAGATTTTCGTCTTTTAAAGAAAATGTGTGGAGATGGCTGAAAATCCATTTGTACCTATGTCACGTGATGGAAGGATAATTTAACCATAGAGAATATTCTTGGAACCGTAAAGGAAGTAAACTGACCTTTTATAAGGATGGAACCTTATTCCTTTTTAGCACTTATTTTTCAACTTTATCAAACAACCGGTTTCTTTCACGAAATAAAATTTTGAGAATCAGAAGTTGTGTAAAATGATATTTGATAAAGAAAAGGCAATGTTTCATAAGTATGTCGAAAAAGTAAATGATCATTTTACAACAAGTACATTTTCAAGGAAACTAGACCTTCTAAGTTATTACATATTGGCAACAATAACAAGTGGAATTAAAAGCAATCACTACTGTCTTCTGTTTAGGCTGACAATCAACAAAACCAATTTTTTTCAAATTTATTTGTACGAAATTTTGGCCTGCGTCTGGAAATGCAAAAACAAATGTTATATATTATGTTAATTAACGAAATTAACAGTTAGTAAAAAATCGTATACACATATGTATACACATAAGCGTATACATAATTTACAATACGAGTTGTTTTTAAGTACGTCCCTTGGCCACAGTCGATTTAGACGGCGGGTTGACCCGGCGGGATTATGTAGGGAGCATATTTGTTGGACAAGTGGATTATGGAATTTTGTGTAACGGGAAAGGATGAGTTCTTTGACAAAAGGAATTTGAAGGTCGGTGTGTAGGGTAAGGTTCGAGACGTAATAAGGAGCATCGGTCATCTTGCGCAGAATTTTGGACTGAATTATTTTGGAATGGGAGAAGGATAAAATCGATCAAAAGTATATAATACAGTAGTCTAAAATAGTTTTGATTATTTTTCTAGTATACGTATAAGAAGTTTATGTCGTTTGTTAAGTTCCTTTCTTTTCAGTTTAGTGTGGGGGTTCCATGCCAGTCTTTTATCGAGAAACATGTCTAGATATTTCGCTGTCACCAGTCTGTATACGCATATGGTTAAAGAAGATTGTTAGAAATGTCACGCGGCGGACGGTGTGAATGCTTTTATTTTGATTAATTTTTATTCTCCATCTTTCGGTCCATCGATTGATACCGTTTAGATGGGTTTGGGTGTTGGAGGCAGCTATTTCTAAGTTTTGATGCGAGGAAAGGATATATGTATCGTCTGCGAATGTAGCAATGAATGTGGTAAGATTTAGAGGGATATCAGCAGTGTACATTGTATAATGAGAGGACTTAGTACGCTTCCTTATGGTACTCCAGCCCCGAAAAGGAAGAAAGAGGAAAGATCTGCACCTTGTCTGACTTGGTAATAATATCGGACAAGTAAGATCTTAGGTAATAGATTGATGGGAGAAGACCAAATTAAATTCAGCATTTTACCACTATTATTCCAACATTGGTTTTACATTATGAGAAACAAATTATTTGTCCTAGTGTAAATAAATTTACGACAAGTAAAGAAAAATTTATACTTCTAATCCGACTTCATTTCCATAATAAAGTTGATAGTCCGCGTTTATGTTGAAAGTTATCCAAGAAAGCTAATTAACTGAATGGGTTCACCTCATTCCAGTGTTACTCCTGAATTACACCCGGAAATAACGTTTTAGTTGTTTGCATACATTTTTTTAACAATTCGGTCGGAAACATATCCTGAAATTTCATCCAGTGGGAACTAGGGAATATCGGACAAATTAAGTGGCAAATTAGAAAGCCAATTAATTTTCGGCTTTTTTGGGAGTCGAAAGATGTGAAACTTCTTATAAAAGAGGGGTCACAAGTCTAGGACCCCTCGTTCTCTTTTTGTATCTGATTGAGTATTGCATTATTCATTTCGATGTTGGAGCCGTGATCGCCGAATCGCAACGGTTGAGTACAAATCGCTCCCGATATTCGTGACTTCGGCGAGACCGTCCGGGTTTAGGCAAATTCGAAATGCACGGCTTCCCTATACCGATCTCCCTTCCGTGTGAACCAGCTCAATAAAGAGAAAACTGTTTACTTTCTTGAAGTTCCGTACAACGGGTACACCGAAACTGGGAAAAAATCGTCTAAATAAACACTAACTTTGAACCGTGATTGATTAAAAGAAATGCCATCCTGAAGAGGAAGAATAAGTAAAGCTCATTTTAATAAAAAATTCCAATTTCGTGGTGTTTTAAATCAACCCCCTTCCGCAGCCTCTTCAACACGTCGATTACGAGCCTTTTTGTTTGCATCTTTTCAGGAGATATAGAGCGGCAATTCGTTTTGTGGAAGGATCTCCTAGGAGGCTAAGTGGAGATACATGTACGAGAGCGCGTGAGATTTCAATTACTACGGTAGACCCCATATATCAAGTCGAGTCACTGTTTAACCGAGTATCTATTCCTCATGTTGCACTTATCGCCACTATTATGCTAGAAATCCTAAGTGCGCCTTTGTGCAAATAACTTTTTGGAAGCTTGTCTCCTTGTCGGATTTCTACTAATTAAGAATTCAACAACAAATTACTTACTTAACGTCAAATTATTCACTTACGAGTACTCGCAACATTTGAATACTACGTTAGACATTTACTGGACATCCCGTCATACAGTACAGTTATAACATTGCATTAAATTGTCAACAGATGAAATACTGCAGTTACAGGTAGTGAGTGTGGTAATGTACAGTCCTTGGATGGTCTTTTGTAAAATTCAGAATGCTGACTCTCCGACCATCTCTGCCACTCTGGATCCGCCTTTGTGTGGGGGCTGTCTGAAAGTAAAGATGGCGAGTTTCTTGGTCGGCCTATGAACTATAAAATTAAAAAATATAATTACATCAAATTTAATTTGACTTCTATAATTTACTTTTTCATATAATGAGATGATGATTACTGACTAGATTTAAAAACGACCATTTTCAAAATTGACTGATAAAGTATGTGTAATAAATATGTCATGAGAAGTATATTTTTTTTTAAAAGAAAATCTTTTCAGGAAGAATACCTTGTTTTAAAAGATTTGTTAATCATATAATTGAATTTTAATTGTATGACTTTTTATTGTAAAAGTAACTTTGTTTTATATTCAGAATTTTCGAATAATCCATATAAGGTTCAATAATTGTTTGATTATTTAAAACGTAGAGAGAAGTTTATTTTTTGTATAACTAATTAATAATTAAATGTATAAAGATTATTGTATTAACTGTATTGAACAATTAGAATGAGGATATGTAATAGACGAAGCAACACATTTCGTGTTTACCTGGACGCTCACGAATCCCCTTCAAAGAAAATAAAGCTCAAGAAATGCAAAATAGTGAAATCAGAGGTTAGTATCTGCCAAGGGGAAGAAAGCTTCATATAGATACCTCTGGGGAGGTTTGTAAATAGCCAGTGCTGCAAAAAACGGTAGTCTCCGAGCAGTCAGTGGTTTAGAGGAGTGGGGTTGACTCTGATCGGTTGGTCGTGAGTCAGTTAGTCTAGAGTTGGTCAGTGCCCAGTGATGAATTAATAGTCGAATTTTGAATGCGACAGTTGTTGGTTGCAAAAAATGAAGACGACTGGGCTAGACCTTTGTTAGATTATTATGGAGTAAACAAACTTTGCAGAAAATAAGGAGCTTCATTCATCATCCTTCCTATTTTACCAAAAATTGTATTTCTTTTCCACAATTTTATTATACTTTGTTCAGAAAATACGTGACTTACGAGACAGGAAAGGGATTTTCTCAAAGACGAGTTCAGAATGTTTATTTCTGTTGAAGTTAAATTGGAAGGAAGACAAAATATTTTAAAAACATATATTGGGAGGGGGGGGGCTTTTTCTTTGGGAAATATTGCTACCTGATTTCGATTTAATTAGTCTATAGTATATTTCGGGCGAAATAAATAATAACTTACATAATTAATGATATAATATGCGTATTGATTATTATTATTATTATGGATCCGTCATCATGCTTAAGTTAATGGTATACACATATACGTATGGGGATGAATGAACGATATGATAAGTTATGTATTTTTAGGGTATTGCATGCGTTGGAGGCCAACCTCAGCCCCGGAGTCTTAACTTGTGTGCACACATCTGTGATCTTTCAACAATACATTAGTAAATTTACCGTAATAAGGCTAATACTAATAAAACCTTTGAAATAAATTCTAAAAAAAAGTGTGTTTTGTAAGTAAATATTGCGCTTTTAGTAAAATATTTTCCTATATCAAGTCCTTTCGATAGCACAGTTTCACTCTAACTATATTAATATTTTTCTTATTGTTCAAAAAAACCAATATATTTTAAATTGGGAACCGCGTTGTAGACTTCGATCTTTCGATTCGATTTCCTCCGAGGTTGCCCCTGGAATTTTCTTTCTGCTGCCTCATCTGCAACATTTTAATATTAATCCGTATTGTGACAATCATGTAAATGTAATCATATATTGATCAATAAAAAATTTATAATAAAAAATAAATGAAACCTTATAGACTTTTAACAAAAAGGCTAAATTAAATCTTTGATTCAACAAAAGGCCCCACCCAAAAAAAAATTAATACATCATAAAATTAGTATGTATGCACATACTCATAACTATTTAATAAATATCAAAATTACTCTTATTCTACGTTTACTAATTTTACAACTGGGGTTTGTTTCTCTGAGTTACATTACCGTTATCAACAAAATTTCAAATAGTGATCAACTCTTACATTAATTGTTTTTATTAATTATACTTTTTACTCAAGAGATTAGACCAGCGGTGTAATGAACCGAAGGTCGTAGGTTCGAATCCCTTCGTGACTTTAGCTTTTTCACTTCGACCAAGACCTCAGACAAAAAGTTTAATTAATTAAAATAAGTAATAGGTCAATTATGACTATTAAATACATATATGGATTAATATAATTTTACGTTAATGTTATGTTGTGAATTGTTTGGGAATTTTGCTGTTAAATTGTTGGAAAAAGGAAGAACGTTACAGAAAATGTTGTGCGTGCCAATCGTTTGGCAACCTACCTAGTATAATTTGATTAAAATAAACATTACTATTCAATCGTTCAAACAATTATTTTCCTAAAGAAAATATAGTAATTCGACAAGCACGGTAGCAATAATAATGAAAAATAATGATCAAGAAAAGAAAAAAAGGTTAATCCGTCATTTAAAATAAAAATATTGTTTACTGTTTTAATGCCCAATTACTATTTTTGTGATCTAATGATAGTTATTCAGAGTAAAAAAAGCGGCAAATCAATCAATACTACCTTGAACTTAAAGCACTCGATAGAAATAATTAAACAAAAGAAGAAAATCGATAAATTGACCAAGCTGTACTCGAGCTCCCACCTAGTTCGAATTCGTTGAACCCAGTCCCAAAATTCTGACGTGCGTCTCGAACATCTTCTCCTGAGAACAAACAATAGCAATTAACAACGATATCAGAAACAAGATGTAATTATCTTGTGCATTAAAGATCTGCGAAATATTGTTTCGACAGAAATTGGTGTAGGATTCACTCTGACCTGGGTCAAGGTTCAACGGCCCTTTGATACCCACATCTCTAATTGTTTTTCTCCCTCCTTCGAGTCCCTCCAGGAATCAAATGCGTCCATTTGCAATGTTCCATCGACAGCATGAAACATGTTCATGATGCTCAAATTCTCGATATTAGGTGTTTAGATTTAAAACGTGCGAGCGTTAAAACCACCCATGGTATTTAAGCTCATGTTTTATATTGTTATTTTTATAAGGGTGTTTGTTTTCTTGTTATTTATTAATTTTTGTACACAAGATTTGAAATAGAAAAACAATGTCACGGATAATACATCCCTAACCATCTATTTTATTTATTAAAACCATAAACAAAGAGAAAATATATTATATACAAAACATCAGGTGGACCAAAATGTCTGTCAAATATTAGAAAACACTCGAAGGAGGAAAAAAATTTCGTATGGACAGCGGAATTTTGGCTGTTGTCAAGGAAAGAGTCTGTGCTCATCGATGTTGTATCACCTTGCGGTCATTTGTTGTGAGCTTCCTTATCGACCATCGATTACTACCCCCAAAACCGATAATAGAACCACCAGGGATACCACACTCATTCGCAACTGTATCAGCTTCTATCTGCCTACAACACATTGATTAAACGCTTTTGTGGGTGCGTCGGTGGCCGCAAAGGTTAAGGCATTGTCACGGCGACTCATAAGATAAACATCCCAACATACTTAGAAATGTTGTTGTTGTTTTTTTTCAAAAACCCGGGATCCATAGGGCTCGTATAACCCATAGTTAAAAACAAAAATTTTATGCCTCAATCCATTGCAAATTCAGTATCGTGATATTTATTTCATTTTATTATTTTTTATTCATATTTGTATACTAGAGAATGAAAAATGAGACGACCTAAGTTCATTTACTACAGATCTGTTAGTAAAATATTCTTAATTGGCTACAACTAAAACCCGTTTATGCTATGCGGAACTCGGAATATTTTAAATTTGAATAATATTGGACTCGGCACAAGCATACATAATACGAGTGCCGAGGTTGATTCAGTAACTATACTAACCAATTACCGGATAAAATTATATTATTAATTAATAATTATTCAGAAATCGTGAGATGCGGTGGTGTGATGTAGGTTTCAGAAAAACATTTTCTTTATCGTGCGAACGTTTCTATCTTTATTGAGATCATCTTCAGGGCCTGGGATTTATAAACATTGTTTAAATTTTACAAATACATGTAGGATGTGAAAAAATGAATCTATACAATGTTAGAAATATTAGATTAAAAAAATAAAAAATAATGGGAGAATAATGAGGTTGATAATTTGATAATTATTTGGGAGATGAATGTTCGGATTGGTATGTGCCAGTCTTTCGAAGATGTATGTGGCCCATATTTAAGTAGTTTTAGTTTGTCCCTTTCTTCCAAAAAAATGAACATACTCGAAAACTTGAAGTGAAACACAGTCCACACTAAAAACACTCGTAAACGAACAAATTATAACAGCTCACTTACTTCATTTGCACCACTCAAAACATTATACAGTTAAAGAAAAGATCCGAAGACAAACATGCCGAAATATGCCCCGACCTCTCACGGCTTTATGAAAGAAAATTAACTTGACAAAAATCGCGTAGACCCATCACTGAAGATGGCGAAATGTATCTGTAGACCAACACAGCAAAAATCGGCAGACTAGGTTGATAGTTAAAGCCATTTTGGTCCAGTCTTTTACAAATGGTAGCACCTTGGTTCGTCGACCGGCTTTTGATTTGAGCTCGTGGTATATCCAAATGTTGGTGCTATTGACTTTTGATTGAACCCTTTTTTATCCCATTTTGCGAAGCTCCTCGGATTCCAACCACCCGGCAAAGAATAGCTCCGTTGTAACAACACTAACGACAGAATCTATAACGATTGTTTCACTTCTGAAGGACAAACGTAATTTCCAAATCGATCAAAAATAATTATTCCGACTTTTTTATTTAAATCTCTTACCAGTATTACTGTACAGTAGGTATAATGTGTACATTATATTGATAATAATAATGTTTATTGACGAAAATGCGTGTAAAAATAAATAAAACGTTTTGCTTTATATTAGGGACAATGGTCCCTTGAAACGTACAATATACATAAAGTAAATATAAAAATTATTTTTGTGTGGTGTTTAGTGACCGTAAGCCAATGATTATTTGGAGATCGTGAGGTTTAACGTAGGTTTTAGAAAAACATTTTCTTTATCGTGCCAACGTTTCGATATTTATTGAGATCATCTTCAGAGCCTGGGATTTATAAGCATTGTTTGAATTTTACAAATACATGTAGGATGTGGGAAAAAAATGAATTTATACAATGCTAGAAAATTTTAGATTAAATAAGAATTTATACAATGCTAGAAAATTTTAGATTAAAAAAATAATGAATTTCTACAATGCTAGAAAATTTTATATTAAATATAAAAAAATGTATACATTGTGCAAATTATTTTTTTTTAATCTAAATATAATAAAAAATAATGAATTTCTACAATGCTAGAAAATTTTAGATTAAATATTAAAAAATGTATACATTGTACAAATTCCTTTTTTTATCTAAAATTTTCTAGCATTGTAGAAATTCATTATTTTTATAATCTAAAATTTTCTAGCATTGTATAAATTCATTTTTTTCCCACATCCTACATGTATTTGTAAAATTCAAGCAATGCTTATGAATCACAGGCTCTGAAGATGATCTCAATAAATATCGAAACGTTGGCACGATAAAGAAAATGTTTTTCTAAAAACTAGTCGCACCAGACCGCACCTCACGATCTCCAAATAATAAAAATTGTTTTTAATTTTTTTAACGATAATGTCTGTTTCAAGAAACGCGATCCGTTTTTCTTTCGAAATTTAAAATTTCCCTCTTCCTTACTGTTCAAAACTATTAGCTTGTTTGAGAATTTTTCGCCTTGGAAGAAAGTGAAAATAAGTAAGGTTCAGGTTTCTTTGATACTTTTCCAGTTGAGAGATATCGCATATGTTGCCGATTTTGAGATGCTGTAGCTGTTATTGCAGGTCGAGACGGCAGTTTGCGTAATCCGCGTAATCGCAAAGGCCTTCGCTTGAAAAAAAATACCATTCGAAAATCCGAGTCCGCGACCGTGAGAGATTAATCGCCCCAGACGGAATTCATAACGAATATATACATAGGTGACCAAGGACGAGATTCGTACATCTGTCAGAACTCCAGGCCAAAAGTTGTTTGATATACATCGAACATCCCAGTTGAGGAGATTTTACGAGGTATTCATTTTTGTTAGAGAGAGCGAGTCTTTCTATCAATACAAACGCATTTTTGGCCTTTTTTAAATTATTTTTTAAGACTTATGCATTGAAATCAGGATGTAAACTTACACAATTGAAAATAGTATTATTTTAAAAACCATTAAAAAGGACCAAAATTTAAAATTGAAAAATTAGTCGGATAATGAATAAGTATTAGTTTTCGCAAACATGGACCCATGCATGAACACCGACGAGCATAAACATTCTAATAAAAAAGCGATAAATTAACTAACTATTCATACTTTATTACGAACTTTTATTTTTCTATTTTATACCTCAATTCTACTGATTTACTTTTGAACTTACAATGGTACAATGGTATTCCACTTTCAGAAGCAGACAAGAACAGAAATGTGGCAATTGTTCTTATTAGAAAAAAATTAAATTACGTTCACGAAAATTAGCCAACACATATTAAACTCACTCTTCAAATTCATATGAAAAATTGTCTAATGGTATCAAAAAATAAAATTTTAATGAAACTTTGTTTGAATCTTCCCCATTTACTTTAAGACCCATTTTAAGCAAATGATTCCATTGTCATCTGATTTCGCTCAGACTTTCTAATCCCGGGTCACTAAAATAAAATTATAACGCCACTCCTTCAAATGCGATTGTAAAAATTTAAATGTAAATTATATCCGCGGCCAAACTTTTTCACCGACCGATTAGAAAAACGCTGCCCGCTCTGAAGAACGATGGGGTAGGACTCGCCGTAACGACTGAGCCGAAAATTCAGTTCAGAGACCTTACTCGGCCGGTGGGGAATGGACCGAATTTTGTGGGTGGGGATCCGGAGGTCCTTATTTTCTCTTCCATATAAAAAAAAAAAAAAACACTCGTTTCTATGCATTTATGGCATAGTCTGTTTCTAGTTTTTTAGAACTGCAATCTGGTTCCGAAACGGTTCCTGCTTACAAACACACGGCATATATGTATATACTGAAATATTTGTGGATTGATTTCAACGCTACAATAATAAAATTATTTATTAAAAATTTTGGCCGTTGTTTATACTATTGACAATTAACTGGATTGTCAGTATATTTTTTAATCAATTAAAGACCAAGAAATTATTTGAAATTGCACCGATTTAACATCCATTTAACATGTGACCTTAAAGCATGAACATTTTGTTTTTCACCTAATTACCTGTCAACTTCATCAGTCAGTTCGTATTCTTATGAAAATGTACATTGTGTACTGTTCCTTAAAGGCGGTGCACCCCCCCCCCCGCTAATTAGTACAATCATATTACAATATTTAAAATTAAGAAATACGAATAGTTTCGAGAGTAACAAAATCAATAAACTAATTGCAATCATGAGGACAAGCATTTCCGGTTTTCGTTTTTAAATACATTAGAACAGGATCCAAATATATCTAAATTATGGACGTCACACATTTCATTAAAGACTTTTTAAAGTCATTGTGCCTATTAATTTCCCTAACTAATTTCCTGTAATTATTTCTAAGAAACTGGGTGAAAAAATGTGTTGTTCATTGGGGGGGGGATGGAAATCCGACGAAGTTGTGTGTAATGGCCGTTTATCACCTTCCACAAGAAACACATCCTCATCAATAAAGAGCGATCTGAAGGGAGAACATTTTGCACAGTTTCAATCATTCGACATACTCATTATTATCCCTTTAAAGTCCTAACTTGTAAATTAGGTGTTTAAAATGTCCTCTGAAGACCTTCAAGTAGATTAATCTTAGATTTAAGCCCCAGGGAAATCAAACAAGGTACAGTATTCCCTGTACCAATCCAATACATAAACGTTTTAATTCACTATTCTGGAAACCTGATGTATTCCTTATGAGGAACCCCAAGCTTCTATTTCTCTTGGCCAGAAATTAACACACGGAGAAAATGAACACGCAGAGTCAAAAGTTACTCCCAAGTCACCAATCTCAGTAACTCCACTCAATTCAGACCCCAGTAATGAGAAGGAGGAGTGATGGGAATGTTACCTCCTATAAAAAGGGATAAACCTACATTAATCAAGATTAAGAGAAAGTTCATTCCTCCGTCACCAAGAGGCAAACCCACTTAAATCCCCCCCTCAGACGCACTTTATTGTAACGTTCGGTTTACATGTAATTGTTTAAGTTGGCATTGAGTGAAATTATTCTATGTCGTGCACAAGAAATGATGTATAGATTGTTGAAAGTGCAGCTGAGATCTCAACACCTATCATTCCAAGTAGTTAAAATTAGTTAGGCGTTGTCGTCGAAATTAACTTAAGTCGGTTCTACCCTCGGGTACATTAACAGGAGAATTCATTAGCCTAAGTGCAGTTTGGGCCAGTGTACATAACGATGTTAAGAAATTATAAGACGTATGCTTTGCTAGTCCTATTAAACTCGTAAATCTAGTTAATCGTTGTTATAATCAAATCGCTTTTTCTAGCTCACTCTTCGACCTATAACAATTTGAAATATTAGCCTTCAATTGAAGATTTTCGCTTCGACATCTCTGGCCTGTTTTTTCCTGAAATCTAGTTTTGTTTGAGCGAAATTTTATTATACGTGCACAAAAACATGTACAGGTCTCCAAACCGAGTCAATTTGAAATAACGGTTTTGATTCTGATGTGAAGATTAGTCGACGAAAAAAGGATTCCCGATCGTGCAAATAGTTCGTGACATTTTGAAACAGACTGACTTAATTACATGAAATAGGCAAAATTGGCCAACGGCGTGAATTGGCAAACTGACCTTTTTTCCCCATGGCTGCAATTGACTTATTTTTATCCCACAAACAATCAAATCCACCGATCTTTGTTCACAGACTGTTGACAAACTATTGTAGACTATGTACTATTAGACAAACTATTATTGCCTATTGGTACAACATTTTTTTTATATTCAACTAAATAGAAAATATCTCGAAATCGATTGTGAAAATGCATAATCTACTAAATTAACCATAATTGTTCACACTTTGAAAACCTTTGTATGGACCATCAGCCATTTTTTTAAATAAAATTATTGGTCGGTTATTATAAGTTAAAATAAGTTAAAAATAGTCGTTATTGCATCCCCCTTAATAAATTTTAGTCTAATATGTATTATTAAAACAAATTGACGGCCGGCAGTTTTTATCTCTATACAATAACTGAAGGCGGGGGCGTCGATGGCCGCAACGGTTTAGGCGTGACACGGCGCTCATCACAAGGTAAAGGTCCCGGGTTCGAATCCAGCGGCCCTGCATTCGAATTAAATGATTACAAATTTGATTTTTTTTTTTTTAAAGAACGATACGACAACGATACTTTTTTCAAAAACACCGGCACCCCGAGGGTTGATATAGCCCTGCTGTTGGGAACCCTCGTTAAAAAAATAAAAATAAATAAATAAAAAATAACTGAAGATAAAATTTTATTAAATCCATTATGTTTAGTGATCTGATTGGCCAAATTTATTATTATTTTTTAATAAATTAATTTTAAATTATGTAGTCTTGGTGAAAATACAAAATCTTATATTCGTCTAATTTAATGGTGCATTACTCAGCTTTTGAAGGAATGCATATAGTTTCATGCATCAATTGTCTTTATCTATAATGTATAAACAAATACGTAAATAATAAACACATTTATCTATCGATCCTTATATGAATTGCTACATACTTTTGTTAATTCAGTTAAATTAAACGAGATCAAAAATTCGTGAGTTTCAATAGAAAATAATTAATTTCAATGGTTTGAAAAAAAATGGACCAAAACACCGGAAAATAATTTAGTGACACTAAAACTTAAAAAACATTTTTTTTTAAACAGAGTTTTGCTCTTAAGGCGTTATTATAAGCAAAACCTAGTATAAATTTTTAAATTTATTCTATCACTAAATGATTTCCGTGGTTTTTGTACATTTTCTTTCAAATCATCACAATTAGATTTTTTTCAAACTCAAAAATTTTTGATCTCGTTTAATAATAATTAAATGCCGAACCATTATCAACGTTTTTTCCCTTCGTCGGCTCTTTTCACCTCAAAGAAGCCGACGCCTTATACAAAAATGTCTTTCCTATACCGACTTCCTTCCCCACCCCATCAAAATCCAACATATATAAACATAAAACAGCAATATCTCACTGGCACTCTCAACACGACACGCAAGGCTGGCACAATTACACAGAAGACAAACACTTTGAGTGAGTAGAAATACTTTGATTGAATATAAAAAATATATTTTGCATTGTGTAAATTCACTTTTTTCCACATCCTACGTGTATTTGTTAAGTGTAAACAATATTTGTAAATCCCAGGCCCTGACGATGATCTTAATAAAGATCGAAACGATGGCACGATAAAGAAAATCTGAAAACTACATCACACCAGGCCGCATCTCACGATTTCTGAATAATTAATTAAGGGTTGTAATGTTGTAGCTCGGTTGTAGGGGCTGCCTAGAGAAATAACGCCTCCTTTTTCTTACAGAGTAAGAAATTCGTGAGCATTCTTTTATATGAATCTCACCAGATCGCACCATTCATAAAGTACGACTTGATGATAAAATTAAGTTAACAACTTCCTAGCCGGGTCGGTTTATCAGACGCGTTCGGAATTTCACCATCTTCAGTTTAAGTCTGGGTGATTTTTGCGAAGTCAAGTTTTTTTTTATAAAGTCGTAAAAGAAGCGGGACTGTATCGGCGTAATCTTTGTCGGTTTGTTGGGCCGATTAAGTCTGGGGTTTTTATTGTTCGTTTGGTATTTAAGGTCATATAAATGTATGTTAGGTGTTGGTAATCTGTGTGTTTACGAGTTTTTTTTTTAGCTAGGTTTGTATATTCACCAATTTTCAAGAATATCCATTTTCGTCCTGTTTGTACGACGCGGGAGTAGTTTCATCCTTGTCTGCATTGTTGAGGGTTCGTCATAGTTTTCTGTGATTGTCTCATAGTTCGTTTTTTTATCATTGTTTCCAAATGACCTTAGTTGTTTTTTGTATCTGCCTTCTTTTTCGTCCTGTCTGTCCGATGTATTTGTCTCGTTATGCCCATGTTATGACTAGTGCAATTTTTGCCAAGGGGTTAATTTTATCAACGTTTGTGCTGTCATTCTGTAAAAACCACCCAGACCTAACACTGAAGATGATGAAATTGTAAGACAAAACCAATCCACGTGCCGAAACGCGTCTTGCGAAACCGACTCGGCGAGGTTAGGCAGACCAAAACAATCAGTAACGATCGAATTACATCAACTAAAATGCCGAAGGTATTGATTACCCGAAAATATTGCTAAATCTTGTCTGTACCGTCAACATTGAATACTCGTAGAGCACCCGCTTGAATAAGACTCTCTTGACACTGGTTCTTAATTGTTCAAATTATCTAAATAATTATCTTCGGTTAAATGTAAAGTAAAGGTAGTTATTAGAAAGAGATATCTAACATATACGAACAAATGATGTTGACAAAGTTTTAAACTCACAATGCAACGATATGATTAGGATTTGAAACACCCTAGGCCTTAGTTGCTATCTACATGAGCATAATCCAATAGTTAAGCAGAGACTCCTACTAGGGTTTATAGAAAATCTGTATATTATTAATACTGAAATTTAGTACACAATCAAAAGGAAACAGAATTGTTAATATACTTTTTTTTAAATTGAGTTATCAATAGTAAATCCATTATCTTAATTTTCAAGA